TGTGTGTGAGAGAGAGAGAGAGAGAGAGAGAGAGAGAGAGAGGTGTGGGAGGGAGGGAGAGTGGTTAGATCAGATCTCTCTCTCTCTCTCTCTCTCTCTCTCTCTCTCTCTCTCTCTCTCTCTTTCCCACCAACGTCAGCAAGCCAGCATCAGTCAAAATTCATATTAGTGGTCCCCGGGATTTAAAATTACGAGTCCCCAAGGCCCTAAAGGTTGGAGACCCGGTTCTAGAATGTATTTTTAACATGCAGGGAATGCTAGGCTTCAGTGGAGGTGGAAGCCTAGAAACCACTCCGGGGACACAGTTGCAGGGGTTTTGTTTTTAGTTTTTGCCACATCACATCCCAGTGTCAAAAAAGAAAGCCACTTTGCATGTTCCAAATGTGCTAATTTTTAAAAAAACATTTTTGAAGCTATAATTGTGCATGGCCACTTTTTGGTCTATAAATGTGCCTTTTGTTGCCCTTGTGATTGTAACTAGTTCTATTATTTATTTTATGTTAAAGAACCTCTGAAAAGCTTTATTTCTCTAAGAGAAAAAGATCTATATATGATACTTTATCAAAATATCAAATGAAGGTAAGAGCACATAAGAAATAAGCCAAAATCCTGTGCCAATTCAAATTTCTTGACAGAATTGTTTTCCTTTCTGCAGATATTTTTAAATATTTTCCACAATCAAAGTATTGAATTTATTTCTTGTGTCAAGGTTTATGAAACTTACCTTGTCACATATAAGTCTTTTTATATAGAAAGATATTCTTTATGTATAAGGAAACAGTAAGAGTGAACTTTATATTTACCTTCTTTAGGTTGAGTCATAACTGGAGTTTGGGTCTCCTTTGTATATGTAACCATTTCTCGAGGAGGAAAGTCAACTTGGGTAATTTTGGACATTGCAAGTTTAATAGGTCCACGTCTAAAGAAAATGAAATGGAACATTATAAGGAATATGTTTACAACACCCTGCCCAACACAAGTACTCTATGGAGCAATTCTATGTGAAAATTTGACAGAAAATTAATAGAACTAAATTAAAATCAATCACAATTTCTTATACTGTTTTGGATGGCATAAATATTAGTGGATTTTGGATAATTTGCTATTAAGAATAAATAAAATAGATTCATTTCAGAATTTTGCACAACAGAATTTCATGAACAGGATGGTCTTACAGCCCCATACTTTCAAAAACCCTCCCAAAAATTCCAAGACATCACTACAGGATAACTTCTTTTTAAAAAAACTTGATTATCTTCTCTTATTATTCTGCTATATAGAAATGCTAATAACAACAATAAATAATGTGTAAGTCTAGATATACCTAATATAAACCTGGTATAAAGCATGTGCTTTATATGTAAACTCAGTAGAACTACAATTTCATTTATAAAATATCTTATCATGTTGAAATCAATTATAATTAAGATATCATTTTGCAATGACTTTTGAATTAGAGACTCATGAAATATCTGAAGAATTTCATGATAGGAATGCACAGATTTGATTTGATTTGAAAGAGGCGCTCTGGAATGCAAAGAAACATTTACCGTATTTATCGGCGTATAACACGCACTTTTTCCCCCTGAAAATAGGGGGCAAATGATGTATGCGTGTTATACGCCGATGTCCAGGGAGCGGAATCCTCTTTAAGGGATCCCGTTCCCAATAGTGCCTAGCGGAGGCGCAGCGTCGTGACGTGATGTCAGTTCTGAACTACCCTTATTTTTTTCCTGAAATTTCCCTCTTAAAATGAAGATGCGTGTTATACGCCTGTGCGTGTTATACGCCGATAAATACGGTAACTATTGAGGGGAGGCTTCTGTATAGCTGTGTGATCATAGAAACAGACATCTTTAAGAAGCTACAAATAAGAGCAGTGTTTGCATTCCTGAAAAATACCTCTTCAAAACTAAATCCAAAGTACTGCACTATCATAACACTTCACGAGATGATTCCCATTAAGTATTTAAATATATGCCTACTGTATTTTGGCCATTAATACACCTATGCTTCTCAAAAATGTTATAAGGTAAAAAAGCCAATAGTCCTGTTCTATTCTACACACTGTAATAAAGTTTCATATTTATATTATACTCTTCCCACTTCAATTCACATTTATTCATTGTTCCTATACAATAGGCCAATTTAATCCCTGTATTATAGGTTTGTGAACAGGCAAACTATTTGCAGATTCATACTTTGTTATAAATATCAAAAGGTAATAAATTATTTTTTAAAATCTAGAAAGAACATTTAGTAAATTAATAACAGAATTGTAATTTATGTTAGTCATTTTTCCAATTATGTTAGTCATTTTTCCCAAACACATATTTTCTAGTTTTATACTGTTTGGAAATGTATTCTGAAAACTGCTGATTAACAAATTCAACACTATATTATTGCTTAATATCTTACCTAATCACAAGAAAAATGGTTTCACATGTTATTTTTAAGAATCTTACTCTGAACATATATCAACAATTGCTACATAAAGATGGAAGATAAAAAAACTCTGCTGTACCCCAGATCGGAATCAGAGTGGAGCTGTAGAACAGATGGATCAGTATCCCAATGCAGCGTCCTGATACACAGGTTGAAGGACAACCATGCAGCATTAGCAAAAAAGGCGATAGATTAGTAAAGCAAGTACAGTCTATGAAATGTTAAGGCTATTGTTACACTCATAGTATGGTTTCAAAAACAAAGAAATGCCAAAAGATCAGTTAGTGAATATCAAGTGGACATTCAGCGCTACACAAAAACATGCAATATATAATAAATTAAAATACAAACATACAATTAGTAGTGCTAGTAATATCATATATGGGCTATCAAAATCTGAAAGCCATTTGCTGCTGCCTAAATTTTTGCAGTCGATATATGGTACCTTTAACTGTGATTGCAATATTATATTAATCAAATAGTTCACAGCACCTTTTCACAAGCTTAATATGCTACATTTTTAAAGTATTAATGTTAACTAAATAAATTATTTATAAAATCTGTGATTCATCAATTTTATTCATGTGGAAATATATGCAAATGTAATAAAGTAAATGTTTTAAAATTAGCCAACAAAGATTTCTTTAATTAGGTGCAATTGATAGTATTACTAGATACATTACATTCTTGAAAAGAGTTATAATTTCAAAAATATGAAAAACATGTTTACATACTGATAAAATAGATACAGATTTAGTAGTGCCATCTGATCCATTTCATTAACATATTGTAATATTGCCCCAAGCATTAAATATGTTCAGGAAATTGTCATATTAGTAAAGGAAATGAGTCAACACATAAACCTTTGGGTACAGAAAAAATGCTTTTCCACTGGGATATACCATTGCTTAGTGTTTCCAAGACATGACATTGCTATAATTACGGGTTAAGCACAGCCTTGGGCTTATGTCATTTAATTTAAAACCAACTCAAGACATCCAATGTCAAGAAAACAGCATGTTTAATAAACTTATTCTACATATGCTTAAATTCCAATGAATCAAAAGTAGTCTTAGAGCACAATGCAGAAGCCAGTATATTCATATAATAAACATACAATGCAACATACTGCCATAAAGATGTAAAAGCAAATACATTTCATATAGTTTATTCTAATACTTTATTTAAATATTCATATGCATTTTATTAACTATTTTTATCTATATTGCCAATAGTTTGCAGTCAGAAATGGTATAATTATTCCAACATTTATTATTGGGATATAATCATGTTGCCACTGCCCCCAAAATGATAAGAGTGTTCATATTAATGTTATCTTCTTTTTATCAACTTTTTTCTTTGAGGAGTGTTATCTTCAACGTTGAGTAGAATTATTACATTCTATTTCTCATTTATTCAGAGGAACAGTTGTTTATAAGTAATTCTGTTTAACTATAATATTGTATGAATAGATAATATAAGATACATATTGATACTTTCAGGCACAGAATTCTGTTCTGTCTCAAAGGCAACTAGTGTCTTTCTTTTATATATGCTAATTAAATCCTCTAACTTTCTGTTTCCTTTTTTACTCTGCCTCTCTCTTACATCTTTCTCCCAGTTTTTTTTAGCTTTCTGTCCTACCTTCATTATAAAAAGTGTTCAGTTAACTCTTTAACTCCCATTTCCTCCTATTGTATGCAAAAAGGCCAACTTTACACTCTGAATACATAGATTTTCTGCCCTACTATAAATAATCAAATTGGTTTTGTGCAACTTGAAAATAATTTGAGATCCATGTATATTGAGTATAACTGGGTTTACACTTTGCTATTTTCCATTATTCAAAATCTTTCATATAAAAGTTTAAATCCAATAATGCTCATTTATATCCTTTAAGAAAGACATCTTAAAGATTCACAAAAAGCAACCAACCAACAAACATTACTGTAATTACCGTGTTTCTCATAAAATAAGGCCAGGTCTTATATTTTTTTGAGTCCCGAAAAAATGGCTAGGCCGTCTTTTCGGGGGTGACTTAATTCCCCCCCTTGCATCCTCATCTAGAGCGCCCTGCAGGCAGCCTTGCCACCAGCCGCTCCTAATGGGTGATCATGGCGAAGCGCAGAGAGTTCCCTACTCCCACCAAACACCTTTGCTGCAGACCCAAGACCTTGGTCACCCACCACTGTTGCTTTCCCTTCTGCCCATTCCGCTGCCCCGCTTGGAGCTGCTGCTTCCGTGTTTGGAGTGCCGCTGCCATTTGGAGTGCCACCGCCATTTGGAGCACTGCCGTCATGTTTGGAGCTGCCACTTCCGCGTTTGGAGCTGCCGCCATGTTTGGAGTGGTGGCGGTGCTCCAAACAGCGGCAGTGCTCCAAACGTGGAAGCGACAGCTCCAAATGCGGAAGCAGCAGCTCCAAACAGCAGCAGTGCTCCAAACAGCGGCAGCGCTCCAAACGTGGAAGCGGCAGCTCCAAACGCAGCGGCAGCTCCAAATGCAGAAGCGGCAGCTCCAAACGCAGCGGCAGCTCCAAACAGCAGTGGTGCTCCAAACGTGGAAGTGGCAGCTCCAAACACGGTGGCGGCATGGGCAGAAGGGAAATCAACAGTGGTGGGCGCTGAAGGTCTTGGGTCTGCCGCAAAGGTGCTTGGCAGGAGTAGGGAGCTCTCCGCGCTCTGCCATGATCACCCATTAGGAGCAGCTGGTGGCGAGGAATTGCGCTCCTAATGGCTAGTCCCCCCGCCCTTCCCCCATTTTGCATATTTTAAAATAGGCCTAAATTTGGGGGGAGGGGCTTAATTTGATTTTATGCCTAGAAAACATGCTGGGTCTTCCTATTGGGGGAGGTTGCATTGTTGGAGAAACACGGTACATAATAGCCGAATAACAGATTTTAAGGGTAAAAGTGGAGAAAAATGTTTGTAGAATTGTATCTGCAAAGCCTCCTTAAAAGTAGGGGGAAATTAGCCAAATGTCACAGATGATATGTCAAGTTTTTGGAGAAACTACTAAAAATAGTCTGTTGTGCTTTCATTGGACAAAGAGCAGACCCAAACATAAGTCCTCAGGCAAGTTCATATAAAAGATGGTTCTTGGGGTTAAAATACTGCAATGACTTATGATTGTAATTACTGGCTCTATTAGAATAATAATTGAATTTCTGCCTTTTAAAAAAATTAATCTTTTCATTAGTTCTCATTCTACTGGTTACCCAAGGTTTCAAGAACATACATTGCACTGTCTAATCTTATTTTATTATATTTTTAATTTCATTATATTTTAAATCTTGTTTTTAATCAATTTTGTTAGTAGCAAAAAAAGGGAAACATTTATTGATTCATTCAAACTCAATTAATTCACCTAAATTTGAAAAATCAAACAGGTGGCTTACCAGTGCGCTATGATTTCTTTGATCTTAAAAACTTTCAGCAGGTTTAGAACTATTTGCACTTTCTTTATAAGAGATTACATTACTGTGCTTTCTGGGGACATTAAGAGGTCAAACACTATGCTGACTTGTTTTGTAAATATTCTTAACAAATTTAAATGAATATGAATCGAGAAGGCATATTATAGCAAGAGACCCAGTATGGTTTAATGGTTAAGGCACCAGACTAGAAACCAGGAGACTGTGAGTTCTAGTCCTGCCTTAAATATGAAAGACAAATAGGTGATTTGGGGTGGGTCATTTTCTCTTAGCTCATGATGTCAAGCTTGGGCAACAAGTCACTTGATCAATTCCAGCTGCAATCAATTAACATTTGGCTGATAAAAAAAAGCAGACCCTGTACTTGTGGAAAACACAAAGAGAAGGAAAAAATGACATATAATAGCCTGACAGCCCAAGCTGCACCATCAAGTGAAATAGCTGTAAATTTATCAGCAGCCAAATGAGCTTAATAAATTCATAGAAACTATATCAGCAAGATGGGAAAGTGATGAATTATAAGTTTATTAAAAGATAATTGTTATATAAATGTATAATTAGCAAATAAATCATAGCAGACTACATATTTTATTGGGATTCTATTAAAAATATGACTCATCAGGCTTGAATATCTCTACTGGATAAAATATTGTGGATGAAATGGTTGTAATATGCTTACCACTGTAGGACAAAGAAAGGCTGGTAAGCAAGTAAGATTAGTTCCAAGTATTCTATACATTGCATTCTACTTCCTAGTTGCACTGAAAATCACAAAGCAAATCTTATTGAAGGGTGGCAAGGAATCAGTTATGTGTAATTTCAGGCTAGCCACCCCAAAAATGAACAGATGGTTCTTGAATTATGATGGCAATTGGGATTGGGATTGGGATTGTTAAATGATCGGATTGTAAAGTGTGACATCAGCCAACTGCTTTTAGTGATAGCAATCTAGGCAATCCTGCTTGCTGTTGTAACCCTAAAATGTGCAGGTCATTAAGCAAAAAGCAGTGGGAATTCCTGGTAAAGACTGAGGGGGTGCCATGGTGAGCTGGGGGAAGCACTGCCAAATTGATCTACATGTCTACGCTTTGAGGTAAACTTTAGCATGTAGTTTCCCAGTAACTGTTGGGCAGGATGGAAACCTACACTAGGATATTGCCCAACCATACAACTGTTTTCCATAGAACTGCCTAGATGATTCCACTGATCACTGCAGTTTTAAAATCAGGAGGAAAGTTTATGTTCGCATGTTTGCTGAGTGCAGCATCACTTATGTAACATTCTTACCCTGCATTGTTTCTAATATTTTATTCTGAAGTCTGGTCTGTCACCATAATAAATTCTATCTATCTAGAGCATATCTTTTAAAACTGTTGGCAGCAATCATGCCAGGTCATGCAGATGTTGGCACCAATCATACAAAGATCACTCAGATTTATCAAATCAACCATATCAGTGACAAGAAAGCTTTCTGAGTCAGGTAAAAACTTCCCAAGGGCAATTTAAAATTCATACGTGAATGTGTATTCGGAGATTTTCCTAACAACATGCAATAAAAGATGAATAATTCATTTTTATAATTTTACAGCTGTATAGGCCATTTCTTTATAAACTTTTATTATTAATACTGGTGTTTAATGCTTCTGCCACCTTCCTGATTTCTTGTTATTGGTAAAATAATTGTTAAATATGTTTTTGTTATCTTTATATTTAATAATATTCTTTTCAAAGTATGTATTTTGCCTTAATTTTTTTTGTCTATTTGTCTAAATGTATGATTTTTTAGTTTGTTTTTTAGTTTTCTTAACTAAATACTTTTAAGAAGACTTTAAAGGTGGAGTCTTTAGGAATGCCTATAAGGTCATACTGGGCCCTATAGATATATTATTTGTTGTATACATTTAATTCAGCATTTCTAAGCAAATATAAGTAACGGTAGTTTTTAAAAAATCTATAAGCTGTTTTTTTCCAGTTTATACTAAAATACTAAGAATAAGTACGATCTTCAGAATTGTACTTGCTATAACATTTGAATCTATAGCATATACTATTTATCAGAAGAAACCTACAATAAACACATCCTGTTGACATTATTCTGTGTCAGAGAACTCTGAGGTAAGTAATAACACCAATTAATACAAAGAAACTAGGCTGCAGGTTGTTCTCAGATTCCAACTATTAGTTGAGCAACCATTCAAAGTTACAATGGTGTTGAATGAGTGGGAGTTACACTCAGTCCTCAGAGTTCTGACTGTCACAATATCCTCAAAGTCAAATATGCCCAATCTAACCACTTGGTGCTCAGCTTCTTATTACAACATCACAGTAAACTGTGGTCATGTGATTTGCAACGTTCCTTGACTTACCCACAAGCAAAGTCAAGGCAGAAGTCAGGAGGAGGTCACACATTGTTCCTGCTGCTTTTTCACCTGCCCTCCAATAGTGCCTGCCTGCAGCAACCTTCTGTAGCACCCACTCACACTCCATAGCATCTGCCTGTCTTCTACTTATACAAGTCTTATAGGCACAAGTGAAACTTATAGCTTAAAGGTGTAATTAACTCCTTCTCTACATTATTAAACTGAGCACATGATTATGTTAAACTGGCTGTGGTTAAATAAATCTAGTGATTACTATATTTCTTAATAGTAAACCAGAGATTTAAAAAAATTAAGTAGTAATCGTTATTTTTCAACCTGTAGACTACACAGCTACTTACACTAATAGAAGCAGGTCTTTCTGCCCCTTTTTACTTCTTGCGAAATTTGCTCTAACAGATCCTTTAAATATTTAAAAGAAAGAAACGCTAGTACAGTGGTAGAAATGTAGAAACTTGGGACATTAAAAGAAGAAATCTAATGGCACAACTCAAAAAGACAAGGAAGGAAGAACAGGAGGAGAACACCCAATTAGATATCACCACAATCAATACATACAAAGCAGTGGAAGGCCACAGAACAAGATGACGTTATTTTCAAATCTGTTTAGTAAGCTACCAAGGCTTCTATCTCTTTTCCCAACTCATCCCATGCCAATAACAATTTTGTCAATTATCAGACATACTAGCTTTTCCATGAAGCAAAACCAAGCACTAATTTTGATATACCGCAGCACTAAAAAGAATACTTGATCATAAATATCTGATTACTTATTTTGCCTGTAAAAATGAAACAACTTAAATTAATGATTTAAATTGTTCAAGTTGTGTTTTATTCAAAGGAATGCCACTCCAAGATGCAACATTAGGAAAATATCAGTAGAGGAATTAGAAACATTAGGAACATATTGTATGGATTCTCTGTCCTTAGTTTAAACATACCAGTCATCTCAACTTAACCACTTCCATTTTCTTATTTGGTTTTCCAGTTTCAGCTGAGAATTTAGTACAGTTCAAGACACATTTTTGCAAGAGTGCTTAATGGAAAAGAAGCTGCCTTGAGAAACTGAAAGGCACTGGCTTCCACTTTTAGACAGCAATATACTGTCAGTGTACAATCAAATTCTGCTGAATAGAGGGAGGAGAAAGCCACTGGGATATGTCTTGTGACATGCCAAGAAGAACAGGCTATATCTTTGGATATATGTATATTATTGAAAAATACCCTAACAAAGTATTTTATACTTCATAATATCAATTATTCTGAGAAAACATACCTTGAACCAACAGCACCATCACCAGAATCCTGGCTTCCGGCCTCACTTGGTGTGCTCACAGATTTCGAAGATGGAGACATAGGAGGAGGGACTAAATAGTGAAACAGACAGGTATCCGCTGTTACTAGTCGTAGAGGTTGCACAGCTTAGGACGTTTCCAAATTAATTTAACATGGAAGCATTAAAAAAGTGATGGTAAACAAAAGAAAACAAAAATAAATAAAATGGATGAAAATGAACAATAGAAAAAAAAAAGGGAAAAGACAATGTTAACATATCATGCTGGATATTCATGCAGTATTTGCCATTTAAATGCATTTTGGGATAATATTAAAAGATGTTATTTACTTAAAATGCAAGGAAAATATAGATTATTAATATAATGGCAACAATCTTTTCTTAGAAATTAAGTAATTAAAAATGCAATGTAGAATTCCCATAAGTTTTGGGGAAAGGTTTTATTAGAATCAGCAGAGAAAGAACTAAGATGATTATCCTTTCCAGACATCTTGAAAAACTGCTACAGAAAAACAACAGAATAGCAGTCAAGGTTACTTATTTTATTTTAATTTTATTAATTTTTTATGCCTCCATCTCTCCTACAAGGTAATTCTGGGTGGCTTATAATAGGTTCCATGAAAATTACCTCTCTGCAACTAGAGGTTGCAGAGAAGTAATTTTCATGGAACCTAACTAGAGGTTACAGAGAAGTAGAAGAGGTTGATGCTGGATCCTAGGACCTTTTGCAGATAAGGACTTGTAGAACATGCTATTATGTATTGAAAATAATTTATTTTCAGCACATTCTCTATTTTCCAGTTCTCACATTTAAGTTTTATTTAAAAAATTCTGAAATGTTAAGTGGCTGTAGTTAACCTTAAATGATTTTTTTAATTACTGAAGAGAGTAGGATTGCATGTTTCTTTACTGACTTGATCTTAGAGAAAACAGAATTTTTCACAGAAAATCATTCCTACACTAAACATATTTTCATCATTATTGTGATTAAAAATATTGGCTTTGATCTACAGTGTCCTTTTACAAAGTCATACTCACAGTATGCTTCAATAAAGGAAAATGGGAGAGAGCCAATACCTGTTCCACTGTTGTACTATGCAGCATTGCTCACTCCATATTTTAAGATAATTAAAATATAAGCACTAATAGAGGGTAAAATATATTTAAACAGCTTAAACTTAACTATAGAACTGATAAAATTGATAAAATTCTAGCAAAATTTGCATACATTATTTCTTTCACTGCTGTACCTTAAATATTAATCTGAAAAAAAAAACACCTCACAACCAGTGTTAGATACTAACTCAAACAATTATTTGATTACTTTAAAGAGACAGCTGACTTAAAATCAAGAGTCCCTGTTTAAAACTGGAGTAGGGTTGAAGGTAGGGTAGGCAGGCAGGCTATTCAACCCTGAGAGGCTAGAGGTGAATAATCTTTCCAGAGCTCAAAATTTTCTATTTTTGGTTCTAAATTAGGGGTATTTTCCAATAAAAGAACTGATACACAATTGGGCATCCTCCTGGACTAAGACATCCTGCTTAAAGAGGAGGTGACATCTATGGCCAGGACAGCCTTCACTCAAATTCAACTCATATGCCAGTTGCAACCTTTCTTGGATAAAGGATCCCTTCTCACAGGAACTTATGTCTTATCATTTCATACATGAATTATTGCAATTTACTCTACTTGACCTGCCTTTGAAGACAATTTAGAAGTTGCAACTGATCCAGAATGCAGTAGTACAAGCAATTATGGCTACATACTCATTTGCCAGTATACTTGCTTTGTCACATGAGCTGCATATGTGACGGAATCTAGGAAATGGACCTTCTCTGTTATGACTCCTGCTTTTTGGAATAGAGGTTTGGATGGTCCTGAGTCCTGCCTCTGCAAGCCTTTAAATGATTTCCTTTTTTTATTTTAACAAATTTTATTTAGGTTTTCACATTAAAAACAAAAAATCTATTTTTAGTGGACAACATATTTCCAGGTCATCACCTATACATACAAATATGACAGCAATTATACATTCTTATATGCATACTTCATTCTATTATTACCTTTCCAAATTTTCAGTAAGGAGAGAAACAAACACATTAATTCTAGCCTCTTTCATTAATCTCAGTCGAAACATCTTTTTGTTTCATTTCAATTATTTCAAATATAATCCTTTAATATTTATTTTAAAAATAAAGATAAACAATATGTTTGCCTAATAATAATGATAATGATAATAATAATAAAAAAGGTAACAATGTCTCTCCTTGCTTTTAATAGTCTATACTAACTTATTAATTTAGTTGGTTCTTTAGTCTGTCATATTCCCTTTCCATTACACATTCTTTTTATAAATTCTAGATTAATACAAATTTTAACACTAAAACAAAAAAAAAACAAGTATAGGTTTCCCCCCTTTTACTGCTTTCAGTGTGACACCTCAATGATTAAAATATACCTTTATTCCCTCATCTTGATTCCCAATAAACCATTATTTTTAAGAAGTTACAATAATAATCATTACATCTTTTCATTTGGATTCCGCAGCATATTCCCCCCCCCTTGATTTTTAATAAGAGTTATCAGTATCTATATTACCCTATTTTCTAAATATTCTTAATTGCAGAAATATTCTTATTACCCCTTGTCACCCTGCAGAATCCCCTTTTTAATTCATCAACCATTATCTCTGAAAAAACAATTTCTTTTCAACATTTTACTATTTCCGTATTTCTTTATTTCGTACACCTGTTTCTTACTGCTTCTCCTCCCCCTCTTTTCCCCATATCTTTTCTCATTCCAGTTTATATCCCTCTCTTTCTTAATATCTTCCTTTCCCCTTTTCTGCTGGGTCTTTCTGCCTTTCCTGACTTCACAGGCATTCCCCCTTTTGATTGCCTTCTTAAATTTCAACTTTTTAACCTTCCTTCTTTCTCCACTTCTTTGTAGTGTTCTTTGTGTTAATTGTCTATTTAACATATCTTCTCCTTGAATCGACTCCTCTTCCTCTGAAGCTCTTTCTTCTTGTTCTTCAATCGCCATTTCCATTTTTTCTAGCACAGAGCAAAGTGATTCGTCTCTTTCCTGTAGTAATTCTCTCATATTTTCAAGTTCCATTTTTAATTCCCGAAGAGATAGCATCATTACACACTCTTATATTTTATGATCGTTAAAGTCCACAAAAAAAACTTTTACTTTCCTTCTTTCTTCTTTCAATTTTCTAAAGTTCTCAGTTATTCCAGCCGAGGGTCTATACCAAAAACATCAATCAATCCCACAGTCAGTCTTTCCTTGCTTTTTTCTTTATTCTGGTTCTACTTTCACTTTCTAAGATTCTTACTTTGTTTCAATATTTCTTTAATGTTATATCCACACAAGTTCATTCAGAAACAGGATGCTTTCCCTTTTGTTTGAGCTTACGTTTTTGTCAAAAGGTGGCACTCTCCATTATACAAAGTCTTCACCTTTTCCCCCTATTTTTTTATTTAGGGTTTTTTGAACCTCAATATTCCAGCACAGTCCAGTCTCCAATTTGTAAACTTTATTATTATTATTTTTTGACAATCTTAAATCCAGCTTTATTTTATGCCTGTTTATTCCCAAAATATTTTAGTCCTATTTAGTTAAATCTTTAGTTCCAGCTTCTTCCTTTCCTGGTTTGAAGCCCCGCTTAGCTGTCAAAAATATTTTATTTTTTTCCCCCTGTCCCTTTGTAATTTCGTCGCTCACTTTTCTTTTCTTAAAAATTCCATGTTACCTTAATCCCAGGGTACTTTTGTTTAGTTGTATTGCCCAGTTGTCCCGGTTCAGATGTTATCCACCTCTTTCTTCCCTCCTGCACAAATCTTAATCCAGCTGAGTCCTCCTCTTCGGGGTGGCCATTTTAAACCACCGCTGCAGTCGTCTTCAGGGGGAAAAAGACCAAGCCCAGTGGGGAGATGGGGCTCCCCTCAACCTGGCTTGCGGCTTCCCCTTACTCCTCCGCCCCTCCAAGGCAGCTTCAGCCCCTAATCGTAATAATCGGGGCTCTCCAATGAAAGAGCACGGACCATAGCCACAGAGAGTCACAATCTACGGTCCGTCAGCGAGGAGGCTCCGCCTTCTTCCACCTTTAAATGATTTCTGAAAACCTATTTTTCCCCAAGTTGTGACATAGGTTGAAGTATGTCTATTTGATGTGCAGTATCTATTCTGATTAGGGCATGTTTATTTTACTCTTACATATACTCCTGTTTATTTTTTGTTTTTTTATATTATATGTTTTTCATCTGTACAATACTCTGTCATTGTCAAGGTAGAGGCCCTGTATCTCTGGATTATAAATAAAGTATTTTAACTAGTCACTGCTGCCATCTACTGGCTATTTTACATTAGTAGGATCTCATAGTAATCTCATAGTAAACTAAACTTCTCTCATTCCCAGTAATTTTCATGAAATATTTCTGGATTGAAACATTTAAAATACTTAATAATGTGATTTTTTTTTTAGTTTCAAAAGCTTTTCTATTGTTCATGGCACTCTGAATGGAAATTTCACATTTGCAGGAGTCCTTACCTAAGCATAAGAAATATTTAAAAATGCAACCAAGTGAAAATAGCATTATTTTATTTCCATAATAGTCTTGCTATTAGAATTTCAAAACATACTGAAAATTTGCATTAACAAAGCAAAATGAAAGATCTTGCTGAATTAGCACTTAAGGCTTACTTAATAAAATTGACTATTGTTTATTAAATTAAACAGTTAATAAATTAGTTTAAATTAATGCAGGATCTAAAAACTAAACTTTAAAAATTTAAATATCCAATTTTGTTATAAAACTGCCTACTATGGGATTATGGTTCTTGGCCCCTTTAGGCAAAACTGCAGTTATTTATTTCAATACTTTCCATTTCCTGGTATTAAGGATAATGAGAACCCTCATAAACAGATGGGAACCATATGTGGTTAATGGTGCTCTCGCTCATGAACTACCTAACTAAAATAATACTGAAAGTAATGACAATATTTCATCTAAGGGATAAAAAAATATTTGCCCTCGCAGAACTTACTAAGTAATAAGGACTACCAAACAATGCAATGTTTACTTCTAATAGAGATGCAGAAAATGATGCAGTTATTATGCAAAGAAATCGAGCACAGTAATTTCTGGTGCTCTAATGAAGACTGAGATCTTCCTTTCAATTAGAATACCTTAACACATTTGAAAATAAGTCTCAGAGTTCAGAAATTCCAAGGGTAGGTTACATATTATATGTATGCATGAACAACAAGAACTGGAAAGGAACATTTATAATTATTTCATATGGACCAGGAATGTTATCTTTTGCAGTGAAATTCCCCATGTTTCTCATCTAAAATTTAAAAATGTCACAGCCAAATAACATTTGAAATTTGACCTATAGTCAATTTATCTTTGACTATTTATTTCAGATAACAAATAATTTTTAAAGCAAACAAAATATGTACTTTTGAAACCAGTGTTTAAAAGACTTCCTAAATGCTTCTAATGCTAAAAAAATAGAAAATTATGTTTTGTTTTTTAAAGTATGTCTATCATTCCAGATAGTTATTTCCAAAATATATCCTTCATTTTTAAGATTCGTATTAAAAAGAAATAAATCATTTTTGTATATAAAATAAACTACTTTATTCATTAAGAAATGGGCTCATTCAAACAACTTGAACAAAGACAAGTAGTAGTCACTTGTCTGAGATTGGTGGCTATGGAAATTGAATGAATGAACCAATAAGGTAGTTTCCTGCAATGTTGCAGCGCCCTCTTGTGGCATAGTTCTAACTCTTTGTGCTAATAGGCAGTAACTATCTTCAATAGTTAACTATTTTATTTAAAATAGTTAATATAAATAAAACTATTTTATTTTAAATTAAAAAAGAAAATATTGGAGCTGCTTTGGAAACACAGGCTTATAAGAGTTTTAAAATAAAGTTTTTAAAAACTTCAAGTTGAAATGCCGGTTTCCCTAGTGAGGTCCTATCAGCAGAATTGGAGTCACGGGATGCTTCCACTGGAGAAAATGATATAAGAGTTAATTTATATCTTTCTTTCTGGTACAATTTCTTCAAAAGTTTCTCTGAACTCTGAAGTGGACTTAGCTAAAACCAGCGTTATCCCAAATTCTAGTAAAAGCCTCTGCTGGACCATATTTCTACTCTATGAACTGACAGGCCCATTCTTCATTCAATCAGTTGCTTAGAAAAAGAAGAATGAAAACATTTATTTGGCAACATTTAAATTAGGAGTAGCAATCTTAAACAATCCAGATGTAGTAAAACAACATCTGGGAAGTCTAGGCTGCCAATCCTTTTGCTGCATTGATTTTATATTTTAATGGAATAATCTTAAAAGTTTTAGTTGATGAAAGAGAAAGGGATGCAAGAATTAGAAATCAGTAACATTATTCTAATAAAATAATTCTAAATCAGCCAGAACAATGTGTTCTGAGAAGTTTCCTACGTTAACTGTAGTGATAATGAACACATATTAGGTACATGCATGAGTGAGTAACTCAAGTTTCGTGCTAATGTTTAATTGCATGAAGGACAGTTACATGACATTTTGTTCTATATACTTCTTACCCATGGGAGTATCAGGTGTTAAACCCATGCTCTGAAGCAAAGCTTCTGCTTCCCGTCTCTTTTTTTCAAGGTCAGACTCATCTTGTGCAGGAAGGGCATCTTTCTTCTGATCAGTCTATGTATTTTATTAAAATGCATATGTCATTTTACATCTTTACTGTATAAGATCGTTTTTAAAATAAAAATATTCAGTGATAATAAATCTGTAATACTTTACTGAAAGTCTTACCTTGCTGTCTGGAGAAGAAATTTTATAGCAACAATCCTACTTGGAGGAAAATATATTCTTTTCTTTTACACTTGATATTTCTTTTCTTTTTTTATATTATTCTGCATTATGATTCAGTATTGTTAAAATCAATAATAGAGGGGATCTTAAATAATGGAAATAAGAGGGAGAAAGGACTGTATAAGTTCTAGCCATTTTTTGAGAAGTAGAACATAATAATTCAGGCTGTGCATTGTTTTTGAATACACAGAAATGGAAATGCAGCATCTGCGAAGAAGCAGTCATTTTAATGTGACTCGTTAAAATACAGATATTCCATAGAATGGAACTAAGATATGGCTGTTTTAATGACAGAGGTACTACATGTTCCAAACTATCTATTCCAAATTGAATCTGAAACACTGCACATCCTGTGCAGTGCCATAGTGGCCATAGTGAGGATGAAATTATACCCTATAATTATAAGCCAAGGCAAACACTTTCAAGACTTCATTCCTAAAGATCAATGTAGAAAAACAGGACTCAGATTCCAGGTTCCTATAGCAGTAATAAGAACTAAGGTAGACCTGCAATCAATAATTTACTGATATACTGTAAATTAGTATTTGTACTTGTAACATACATGGCCAAAAAAATATATATTCTAGGCCACCAGATATAGTTATTCAAAAACTCCTTCATACGACCTTTATAAGTAAAAAGTTTGTTCCTCGCAAGTTCTCATGAATTTTTAGAATAATTTTGTAAAAAAAAAAAGACAATATTACTATGGAACAAGATATAGTGACTAATTTGCACGCATTCTAGAAATATATTTTCTTTTGCTCTGACATAACAAATTTTATTATCCTGCTCTTCAGTTTAGAAAGAGTTCTCTTAGGAATTTAGATGGCTACAGATAATCAGAGTTGGAAGGGATCTTATAGGTCATCTAGTCCAACCTCCCGCTCAAGCGGTAGACCCTACACCATTTCTGACAAATAGCAGTCCAATCTCTTCTTGAAAGTCTCAACTGATGGCGCTCCCACAACTTCCGAGGGCAAGCTGTTCCATTGGTTGATTGTTCTCACTGTCAGAAAGTTTCTCCTTATTTCCAGGTTAAATCTCTCCTTGTTCAGTTTCCAATTTAATATCATTAATAATTCTTAACACACTTTTTCAAATAATCTGAATTTAAACTTGTTCATAAACATTTCATCCGTTATCACTATTCATAAAAATCACCTCCAATTTATTGTGATATAGGTTCATGTATGCTTTAGCTGACTTTATTGATTGTATATTAACAGCAAATACTATACTGAACAGAAAAATAATGTTAATTTCAAAGAAGTTCTAACATTTGTTAAAATGCAAAAATTTAAAAAAAGAGTTGAATGAAAAAAATAAAGACATTCTTTATCTCTAGGATCCTTAAAAATTACTCAATACAGCAGTCAGAGTGGCTCATCTCAGAAGAATAATGCTGGTCAGGAAGTACACCACTAAGATGCATGATGATGTCAGTTTGGAAGTGTCACTAACTGAAGCTATTGTAAGATAAGAAGGCTTTTTGTAGAAATGAAAAATTGGTAAGGTTTCCTTCAATATTGGCCAAACAGAAATAAAAAAGAACAAAACTTTAGCAAGAAATGCAAACAGATAAAAGGTGAAAACCCACCCCACCCCTTCTGAGTGTATTGCTAAGCATCCAGAAGCTCCAGTTGGTGCAAAATGCAGCGGCCTGCATGGTTCTATGCAGACCCTAGCGTGCACATGTGTCACCTCTCCTGCAGGAGCTGCATTGGTTGCCGATTTGCTTCTAGCTGCAATTCAAAGTGCTGGTAATCACCTTTAAAGCCCTTCATGGCTTGGGTCCAGGTTATCTAAGGAAACATCTCTTGTCAATCACATCCACCCGACCCATTAGAGCGAGGATGCAGGGAATGTTCCGAGTCCCACCTCTGAGGGAGATACACCTGGTGGGACCCAGAAGAAAGGCCTTCTCCGTGGTAGCTCCATCTCTCTGGAACATCATTCCCCCAGAGATTAGAATGGCCCCCACTCTAGCTCTCTTCCAAAAGGCACTGAAGACCTGGTTTTGCCAGCGGGCCTGGGGAACCCAGGGAGGGATGGAGCCCATCAGGTGGCTAGTGTGATCTGCTGTTGTCAGAGAAGGGGATGGGGTTGGTTTTTGATTTTCTGTTTTTTTTGTTTTGTTTTGTTTCCCCCAAATTTTGTTCTATTATATTTAACTAATTTGATTCTTTTTGTTAGTTTTTATTGTTTTTATTTTTATTTTCTGTTTTAAATATGGTTTTACATTGTGTAAGCCACCTCCAGTCGCCATGGGCAAATAGGCGGCAATATAAATAAAAGAAATAAAAATAAATAAATATTGATATAGCTAATAAATACCTCAGAACATTGGCTAAAAATGTGAATGAAAAGCAGACAATAACAAATTTAAAACTTTAAAGAAGTTTGCAGAGCTCTTGCATTTGTTTTTTAATAGAAAAGATTCTTTTTCCCCTCAAGAAGAGAATCTTAAGAACTGAATCAAACAACATGGAACATTGAAGTAATTTTGACTGTCCTTAACAAGTTAAGAATGAAAAAATACTGGTATCAAATGGTATACACCAAGAACTCAAGTGTGAAACAAAAACAGATACTTTCTAAACATAAATTTACAAGGCATCTATTTTTGAAGATACCTTGGCATGAAGCCTTGGTTATATTTAATCAGAAATATTTTAATTACTAGTAGTAATGTAGTGATACAGATAAAACAATACATATATTGAGCTACGTAAACTCTGGGGAGAAAAAAATGATTCTGTGAAATTACTGGTATTATTTATCTGATGTTTATGAAATATAACTGCATTCATAATTTGACACACATTATTCACAAAAATTACTAGGAAGTTTTAGCATGTAAGCAAATTATTTGCTAGGTGTAATTTGAAAAAAAATTCTTACTTCCTTTTTCTTTCTTTCTTCTTCTTTTCTTTTTTTCTCCTCTCTTATTTGAGCCAAGCGTTGTTTCTTACGTTCTAACTCTGCCTTCAGTTCACTTTTATCAGACATAGTTAGAATCCTGCCAATAGCATAAATCAAATACAAAATTAAGTATTTTTCTATATGTATATCTATTAGTTAAAATAAAACAGGCTTACTACAAAACATGGTTCCTTGGCAATAATGTATGAAGGATTACCACCTGAAATTTGGAACAAAATTTGCACGAAACTGTAAACATATTTATCTCTAGATGAATTTAATAAAAATGCAGACAAGCTACATAAAAATCAGGAACGAGAAGCTGGATGACAAAAATCAATGGCATATGAATAGGGAACATTCCACTTTCATTTAAAGAGTTATTTATAATAATGTTTCTGAAAGGCCAGCTAATATTTTTGAGACACACACACACATTTAGTTGAATCACTTTTTGCCATAAACTTATCCTTTTCCTCTAATGCATATTGCAAAGAAGCCCTTACTATTAAGCAAATATATTAGAAAACTTCTTTGGGTTAACATTTTTAAGCAAATTGATTTAATAAATCATCCTTCCAGGAACTCAAAATGGACAGTTACTCTTTTGTGCTTCTCCAGATTTTGAAATGCATTTATGGTGACAACAATTATATATAAAAACATATATAAAGAAAAGGGGGGGGGGGGATCTTGCTTTTTTGTTTTAATATAAGGATAATAAGAAATACCAGGACTATATATATTTGAATAAACAAACTGATTCAATCAATACAAAATGCAAACGAGGTAATTTGTCTTCTCCCTCCTTTTCATCTTTTCACAGCACCAGCACAAGCATGCATATTTTTCTGCAATATCCCATTAGTTATTACTATATCCCTTAGTTACTATACTGTATATATTTACTTAGTTCATCCTGGCAGTACTGTTTGTAAAGCTACGTTTCCCCGCTTTCTTCCAACCTTATTTAAGGACAGCCTCAAGGTGCATAAAGTCCTCTAGTCTTTATCTAGATTCTCAGAGGCCAGCAAGTGACCACAGTAGGGCCTTGAGACAGAGCCAACAGAGGCAGGATAGGGACTAGTAGTAACAAAGACAGCTAACTGGATAGACAGCACTTTCAGTTTGTAGTGGGGAAAACATTCAGACCCTAAAAGCAATAGCAATACTACTTAGACTTATATATCACTTCACAGTGCTTTTACAGTCCTCTCTAAGCAGTTTACAAGAATCATCCTATTGCCCCCAACAATCTGGGTCCTCATTTTACCGACCTCAGAAGGATGGAAAGCTGAGTCAACCTTGAGCCTGGTGGGATTCAATCTGCCAAACTTAATCATACGTTACTATTGACATTTTGTTAAATCAGTGTCCCATCATATTGTGGCTGTGAATTATGGAATACATTTAGCATCTGGATCTGTCTGGTTCCCAGTTCTTAATCTAGATGTTTATTGGGAGTTCAAAGGGGGTTCTTTTGCTCCTTGCCTAAGGCGTTGACGTAGGTTTTCTTTCAACTGTAATTTTTTAGAGCACAGACATAACTGCGTTGCTCTTTTAAGCATTCAAGATGCTTGGTTGTAAAGGTCGCCCTCAACTTACAACTACAATTGAGCCCAAAATTTATGTTGCTGAGTGAGACATTTGCTAAGTGAGTTTTGTCCCGTTTTGCGACTTTTCTTGCCTCCCTGGTTAAGTGAATCACTGCAGTTGATCAGTTAGTAACTCGGTTAAGTGAAATCAGGCTTCCCCATTGCTTGTCACCAAAAATCATCACATGACCCCAGTAGACTGCAACCGTCATAAATATGAACCAGTTGCCAAGCGTCTGAATTTGGACCAGGGGGGATGTTGCTGCGAAGGTGGTAACTCTAAAAAAACAGCCATAAGTCCCTTCTCCACCCCCCCCTAGTGCCGTTGAAACTTTGAACGGTCACTAAATGAACTGCTGTTAAGTCGAGGACTACCTGTATTTCCTTCAAAAAAAAAAAACCCTGCGGAAATAGGAACTACCGGTAGGTGTGTTTCTACTGCGTGTGTGAGAGAGAGAGAGAGAGGGAAGGAGAGACAGAGACGAGTCGAAGGAAGCCGAGGACAGAGTTCCACGAAGGAGGCGAGATAGGAAGTCTCACCCAGCAGCCTCTTTGCGGGTAAAAAAAAAAAAAAAAACCTCACGAGGACAGCCGGAGGACTCGCCCAAAAAAGATACCGGGCCGAGATAAACAGAGGGTCGGCTGCCGGGCGTGGCCCGCAAAAGGCGCGCGCCCGCCTTATTCCTCCTTCCCCCCCTCCCTCCCCGGTCATGGCTCGCGCCCTCCTCCTCACCCTCCAGGGCCTCGGCCCCGCCCCGCCCCTTCGGGGTCCGCTTGGGCGATGCGGGACAGCTAGAGGCCGCCCTGGCACTGATTTTAGGGAACCGGCATGGGCTCACCCCCTGCCCGCGGCTAACCTGTCACTGGGGCCCTCCTTGTTTCAGAACGCTGCCGCCTTGTTCCGAGGCTCTCCTTTCAACAAAAGCGGGAAGGGACGGAGGAAGCCGCCGCTGGAGTTTCAAATAAGGGCGATAGCCGCCCTTGCTCGGTCTCTTACAGGAGACAGCTCAGCATCCTCCGAAGGAGCACGCATGCGCGGAAATAACCCGTGCCGACGGAACAGGAGGTCGGTCATGGTTCTCGGTCGCATAGTTATACATGATCGAAGCGCATGCGCGTATGAGAAAAAATTGGCGACTTTCGTTCTTATTTGTTTTGGGCCTTGCGGGTGGCGTTTTAGATTTCACAAGTGGCCGGGAAGTTGTTCACTCTTTGAAACATGTTCTTGCCAAAGAAGCGAAAGGAAGAAATAAGACTAGATTTTTTTAAAAAAAAGAATGTCCACTAAATGTCTCCAATGTTATAAGGTTGATGCGGAAAGAGAACTACAATTCCCGGCATGCCATGCGGCAAGTCGATGCTATCAATGGGATTTTTCCTGCGGCACCTATCTACGTAAGCCGGCTTGACAATGTGAATTCAGAGTCCATCTTCTGTCTGTTGCTGGAAATAGTGTGATATGCTGGGGTTGGAAGGTTTGTTTTGCTAGAGGCTCTCTGAAATTTTCCCCAGCACTTATAGATAGATACTTCTGGGTTGTTGTTTTTTCTTCCCTAGGCTTTTTGCCTCTGATTTCAAGCCACTGTACTGCTTCTTTATTCAGAAGTAAGTTCAACTAAGAGAGCCAGTTTGGTTTGGTAGTTAAGGTAGGGATCCTTTAACTTGATGACTTTAAGACTTGTAGACTTCAGCTCCCAGAATTTCCCAGGCTGACTGGGGAATTCTGGAAGTTGAAGTCCACAAGTCTTAAAGTCACCAAGTTTGGTTATCCCTGAGTTAAGGCATCAGCTTAGAAAACAGGAAACTGAGTTCTAGTTCTGGATCTTGGCCAGTCATTCACTCTCAATCCTGGGAAGGAGGCAAGAGGCAAACTATTTCTAGAACACCTTGTCACAAAAACTCCAGGGACTAGTCCTGGCAGCCTCTGAGAATTGGACACAAATTGTGTGAAATTAAAAAAAATCAATTAATTTCAAAGAATGTTATTCCTGCTGAAATAAACTGCTGGAGGCTGCTACTTACTGTTCGGGTATGCTTGGATTTGGTATTAAGGTTTGGTCACTACCAGCTAGAGTTGCTGCATCTAGAACCTCCTCATCTAACATGGTTATCTCTGAGCAAACAATAGAATCGTGGATTTGAAATTCTGGGGGGTTGTTTGGTGGACCAAAAGTAATATTTCTGTATTCAACTGAGTCTTCATAAAAAAGTGTAAATCATAGCATATAATGGAAGTAAAGAATCTATAAAAATCAGTAGTCATATCCATCTGTAATGCTAGATGCAACGATAGATGGATAGAAGTTAGCATCTTAGATTATCTTTTTTTAATTACTTATATCTTCTATATCATATTGCCAGCATTCCAAATGTATCCACCAGCCTAACAATGTTGCTTAGTATGTTTATATTGTTTTTAAAACTGGAATCTCAACCATCATCAGTTCTTTAACTTTCAAAGCAAAAGAATATTATAAGAATTCTTCACAATTATTGTTTCTTAGTATGAATTGATTGCTTATTGTACCCTATGACTATTAAGTGTTGTACCTTATGATTCTTGACTCTTGATGAATGTATCTTTTCTTTTACATACACTGAGAGCATATGCACCAAGACAAATTCCTTGTGTGTCCAATCACACTTGGCCAATAAAGAATTCTATTCAATTAACCATTTTAAAAAAATCATCCTGCTTTATACATATTTCCTTAAAATCACACACAATACCAGTGCTGGGTAAAACTGAGATTTGCAAGAGCGTTAGCTACTAGCAATACACTAATAATTGAAACTGGCTGATTCACTCATCAGAAGTTTGAAATTTATTATACGGATATGGATATGTAAGACAGGAGGTGAAACCAGTAGTACAGAACATGCCATTGTCAACTATGCATTTTATCAAGATTAATATGTTTCTAAATATGTTTTGTGCTTATGAAATAATAAAATTATTGGTCTTTAAAATGCCTCCAGACTATTTGCTGCAAAAAGTTATCATGGTTAATGAGCAATTTTACCCCATTAATTCCAGGGATGGTGTGAAAAATCCCATCTTTTGTGGTAGTAGTAGAAGTCTTGACAGCTGAGTTCAGATTTTGCAAATATTTTAGGGTGCTGATTATCTTCAGAGAGATAATCAATAAAGGAGCTGTGGTTTGCTTATACATGGTTTGTTGAAAATCTTATTGGTCAGGTTCATATAACATGCTAAGCCATATATAATGGCTTACAAACTACAATGGCTGGGTTTACAAAGCACACTAAGACAAACCCAAACAAATCTTATTGCTTGTTGTATTACCTGGCTTTGCAAAACATTTGCTTCAATATCTTGGCCTTAAATTTTGTTAAGATGTTTAAATATGCTAAAACTAACTAACCAGAATTGAAAATTATATATTTTGGCCTTCACCAAAAAATAATTTGTATCAGCAGTAGGGAAATAACCTTGGATGACAATGCCAGAAACAGTTGGCAATCCTTTTGTTCTCTTGCCTTAGTAGACAGCTAATACTGTTTAAAACCAGGATGACAGTGAGATATTGAAAAGCATTTTATGTCTTCTGGTTGGGGTGATGCAACCTAACACTGTACTCCTGGTGTCAGTTGTAGAAATATCTTTTAAGCATTGTCAGTCTTTCTGAAAGTGTCAGTAGTTTAATTACCATGTTAATACAGTTGTCTATCATTTTCTATAAATGGTTACTATATGATGTTTGATATTGTGGAGTCTGACATCACCACCCACCATAATATTTGTGCATACAGAAGAAATAGGATTTAAATATTGATATGAAATATCTGTTTATTACAAGGAATCCTGTAAGAAAGGTTCAGCCAGTGCTCACAAGTTTTCTATGAGTGGAAAGAAGCTATCTGTAGAGGAAAGGAAAGGTTTATTCATCACAGTTTTTTATTAATCTTCTTTGAAGGAAATGGACACTACTAGGCCAAATATTAACCTTCCCCTTTAATGGATCATTTTATTTCCTCTAGATTATTATCGACCGGTAGATTTCTGCCTATTTATATTGTTTTGTAGAATTTAAATGGTATCAACTAATTCTAGGTTTCTATTACTGAAATTATTAAAACTGCTGCAAGAAAATACTTAACTTGGTGGCTACCTAATCTGTAACAATACTTACATAATAGTGGAGATACTTTCTAATCTTAAAAACAAAGATTAGGAAGAAGACATACTTAAACAGTTTGTCCTTATTTTTGAGTAAATATATTGGATTGGAACATTATTTTTAGTTATTACTAGACAACATTTCAGAAATATTTCCTTACTTAAACAGAGAAATAGGATAACCATGGCTACGCAAAATGCAGTAGGAGCAGGAGTGACTTCTGACTTCCTGTTGGCTTCCCCATTGAGTTTCCTTGTGAGAAACTGACAGAGTGTTGAAAACCCCTTCCTTTCTTCCTCCCTCCCTCTTCTTTTTAGCAAGCAGGTAAGTGGCTGCTGCCAGGTAGAGAACTGAAGGACTGAGTGAAGAAATGTGTGAGTGGTCGAGATGATGAGGGCACAGAGGAACTGGTGAAGGGTGCACTATTTCTTCACTGACTTTCTCCTGCAAGGAATGTCAACAACCATATCAGTTCCTTCCAGCTTCCCCACTGATTTGTGAGGAGTTGTCAATGGACATTGAAAAGGAGGATCACGTGAGTATGGCAGCATGGCATGACACCGAACAGCAGCTGAAGCAGAAAAGAAAACCCCCAAATTTCATTCCCTCAAAAATACTGGGTCCCAGGGTTTGGTAAAGTTAGTCCATCTGCGGTACCTTTGTCCTATGATGCAGTGCTTTTGCCCACATGAAGGATACAAACTAACAAACAGACACCTGAGTTTTAGTAGTATATAGATACATACTGTATTTTATGCAATAATAAACATTTGCTGGAGTATGAAAAATTGATTGTCCTGACCAAAAAAATTCAGTAGCACTGCATGTCCCCCCTTGTTTTCAACAGGATATGAGGCAAAAATAGGTGCGTTAAACCTTTTCTAAGCTTAAAGCATTTAATTTTGTTTGTAAACCTCACTATCTCTAATTAAAAAAAAAAAAACTCCTGTAAACTTTGGTTACTGCCTTACTTCTTGGAGTTCTTGCTATCTGACTAAATAAATATTAAAAACAAAGAACAATATGTTAAAAAGACTTCCATTCATCCACAGATATCTTTTTTTTTTTTGGCTAAATAACACTGAACCAAGGTATTTGAAAATACCCCCAGTGGGCATTTTCTTGAAATGTCATCTATAAAACGTTCTGAGGTCCTTTCATTTAAACTTATAATACCAATACAAATTTTATATATTTCCATTAAGGGGACAAATTACTTTTGACAGAAAGAAGCAAAGGCATCCCAGAAGGGATACGCCATAGTAATAGTAGCAAGGGAAGTGTAGGAGCTGGGAGAAATTGATGGACCAGTTCCAGTTCAGAGAATTGAGCACTTTTCATTTTTGCTGGAAATAACATAAATGAGGGAACCTTTGCGCCTCGGTTGCACATCTGCAGTTCTCAGGTAAAGTAGACGCTGCTAAACGCATCACATTTTTGACATTAAAATGAGTAGAAAGTTATTTCCTTCGCTTTCTTCGTGAAACGTAGTCGAGATTTTATTGAAATAGATGTATATGGGAAGGGGGGATAGGTAATGTTTCAGATGACAAGACCTCAACTAGAACCTTATTGCCATTCTATCTTCATGCTGATTAGAATCCAGGTTGTTTATAGCAGAGCCATTATGAGAAACTGGCAAATACTTTTCTGCCTCAGTGGAAATGAAATCTTTCGACTGAGCACTGTCCCGGTGAATTTTGCATTTGAATCAGTAAGGTCATTGCTTTGCTGGGCTTCAAAGGAAACTGATCTTTTACTGGGTTGAATGGGATATAGGGCAGGGAATATTTGGACATAATTAGCTTACTTGGATAAGCTGGTGAATGTGGGGTCATAGGGAGATGTTCTGCTTCCTTATTCTCTAGCAGCAAATGCTGATTATTTCAACATAATTATTCCAGAAACAGTG